TTAAATGCTGTTCAACACTGTAGTATGCACTATTAATTCTACGTAATAAAACCATAAAAATAGACAAAATGCCGCGAAATAATACACATCTACAGAATGTATCCTAGGAGAAAACGCACAAAATAGCAAGGCCGCAAAAAGCGAAACGCTATTTGGCATGGGTGTTCGACATTCTGCCTGCCGTGAGCGATTTGCAAAACGTCGCAAATATGGAATCCACCGCTTTACCCCCTGCAGATTTACTTTCAATCTGAGCTGATTCCTATTTTAAGTGTATTGCGACAAGCCTTTTGTATCAAAACAATTAACGTGCTTATGTCCTCTTCTCATAGGTTTTACCGCCGGAAGCCTCTCAGTACTTGAAGGACTTTTACAGAGTAATGACTCGATGAAAACCAACGATACTGGTGGCATCATAGATGTGAGCCCAGTTCCTCCTCGTTCGGGAGCCAACAATGAGGGACCTCGGATTTTCCGCGATAAGATAGAACGCGGCAACAGCGGCCTTACCTTTGACCGCGTGACCTACATGTTCTGCTGCAGGGCGGACTCGCCTTCAGCTACCATTCCGATCACTGGCTTTCCGAGCACAACAGGACCCTTCTATCTTTATCGGTGAGTTAACGCAAACTCCAACATGCACATTGCTGTAACGGTGACAGAGTCGGGAATCTCACCTGCGTCGCCAATGCTCCAATGGTGACAGGCTGGGATTTCACCGTCCAAGCCCCGTTTGAATCCCTAAGGAAGAACACAACAACAACCTCTGTACAGAACCCCGGATTTGCTATCTCGGGTGGCACTGGCCACGAGCGAAGCCCGGACTGATGTGGACTGCGTCCAGTCACGTCCGAGGGTGCCTGCAAGTCTCAGAAAGTCTGATGCAACTCCCTGTGTGAGATGTGACAGTTGCTTATTAGGGATTGTGAAGCGAGTTCAGGTGTTGTATGATTGGTGCGTTGGATTACTCGAGGGTTGTCGAGTATTGAGGTCACGTGCTGGGTGGCCGCAAGGTTGTGCGCTCAAGTGGCTCTTGAGGAACTGCGACTAGTTGGGTACGTGCGTGTGCTCGCGTGTGTCTGCGAGTGCATATCCGTCCAGCGGTCTAAGACCATTGAGTGGGGACAGTCACTAGCACAGACACATGACCTTGAGGCCGCTCACATTGAACAATGAACGATTTTTGCCCTTCGGCGACAGAAACGATTCATCAGGACAGCCTGCAAGGTTATGCTGGCAGTCGGTTAGGCTAACATCCCACACAATACCGATAATAGCGAATAGGGAGTTCGCCAAAAGCAGTTCAGGAGAAGATACGATCGCTGGAAAAGGAAGCGTTAGCGTTGTCTGTTGGCAAAGTGGGAATATCCCCCGGCTACTCAGTTGTAGCAACAGGAAATCAACTTGAACTTGCATATTTCCTTTCTTAGTGAACATGAGAAGGTCAGTGGCAAAAAACATTACTCCAAATTTGCACATTACTTTAACTGAAAATGTGAAAATATTTACCAGTAAAAAGGACGACTTACAGTAGTTACTTTACACCGAAAATGCTCGCATATCCATAAAAATCTCCAGACTCGTTCCCTTGATACTGTAATGGTCAACGTTACCGTTCAGTCTACGCGTTCTGATTGGTCGGCCTCCTGGTGCGAATCGTGGCGTATAGAACGACCCCAAACATTTTCACTGAGTTTTTTATTCCCTGAATCACGCGAAGGCCAGTCACTAAAGAGACTCCGAGAGCGAAATTTAGTGATAGGTTAGTTTTAGTTCATGCTACGCACTTTCGACCGCCATGCAGAAGCACTTGAAAAGTTTACAAAAATTAGCAAGGGGCGAAAACCGCCTGTGAATAGGTTCAAGAATGAATTGGAAAATCGGCATCCCAAGAAGTATAATTCGGTAGAAGGAGTTCTTTAGGAAACAGTGGTTTATTGTGTAAATTTTCGACGCTGGCACACCAGTTCGTCGTCAGACGGATGGAAATTGTACGAAACAGTTAATTCAAAATGATGGCTGACAAAAGTTTATATGATGAGTAAGGCAATAGTCCATAATCTTCACCCGCATGTAATTGTGCGGTCAATGGGGAAGACTAGTTGTCATCCGCATGTAATTATGCAGTCGGTCGGGAACTAATTGTCGACCGCAATTAATCGTGCGGTCGGTGGTGGCTGTGTTTCGCTTCCTCTAGTTCGGAAAGGCTGTCGCCTCTTCCATGCTTCTCTAAGGTTGGTATACATCGCATCCAATTCAACGTGCCTGTTGATGCACGAGTCGTTGGAGTTGATGGTTTCTAAAAACTCGCGGCCTTTCTTGTATGAACAAGAGCCAACAATGCACGTTTCGTCCCATGCAAATTGGTGTCAAGGTTCAAGAATAAATCAAAACGCAAAACAAACTCTTTTGAAAGACTGGATAACCAATTCATCCAGCTGCTTTACTAATATAAAAGGATGAATACTTAAAAGCTGGTTAGCGTTCTCTAGGGTCACTGAATCATTTGCCACCATTTACTGCCCCCTCCCCCCTCCAGCTCGCCCCCTAAACGGGCCGCGCGATAGATGTGCTGGACCAACATGGGGGTC